GGGAGAGATATTATGAAAAACCTACATACTTATTGCAATAATTACCTAAATAATTATATAGAAGTAGGTAAAAGTAGATTAATTTTATAAGTTCTTCTAGAATAGCTTTCTAAAAGTTTCATAGATGCAACTTTGATTTTACATGTTTTTGTAGGTTAGAAACTTTGTCAACAAATTAAGTATGTATTACACGTGTTGATAGCTTGAATAACACGCTAAGTATGTGGCTCACATATAAAAAACTTGTGTTGCAAGTTAAGATACGTATTTTATAATTTGAACATGTGATGGAGGTCCTATAGAATGTTATCACATAACTTCTAGTTAGATAGTATATATAAAGGTAAGAGTGAAGCCTTCTTTACTCTTATGAATGCATTTTTAAATTTTTGGTCTAGTTTTAAGAGTCTATACTTTTCTAGTCTTTAGCAATAGTTATTCTAGTCTTAATATTATATTACTTTTGGATTAAATATTTATTCTTTTTGAGTTATATATGATTATTTAAAGTTCTTGTTTTGATTCATGTCCTTGATAGTAGTACAAATTGGTCATGTGGTACATATGTAAAAAAATTATCTTGCAAATTAGACACAAATCTTATAACTTGGATATATATTAGAGATTCTATAAAATATCGCCACATAATTTCTAGTCAGATAATATATGTAGAGACAAGAATGAGGCCTTCCTCACTTTTGTTAATGCCTTTCTTGTTCTTAGTTTTGTTTCAAGAGTATTTAGTCTTCTTAATTTTGACAATAGCTATTTTAATTTTAATATCATATAATTTTTTATTGATTATCTATTCATTTTTAGTGATACAAGAATTTATTGATCCTTTGGTTCTTTATTATTAATATCTTTGATAGCTTTTAATTCTTCAAGTTTTATTTAATAGATTTGTCTTAGATGTCTAAGATATTACTTATGAGACTACTTCTAGTTTATTCCAATTCATTTAAAACCTTTCATAATTTATATAAAGTCAATCTATCAAGTTTTTAAAATATATAAGATATCAAAGAATATGATTTATTTATTAAAAAATATATTTTAATTAATCAAATTATTAAATAATTTATATAAATTTAATTATAGTATTCTATAATTTATATAATAATAATTTTATATATTCTTGGTTTATAAATAATGCATAAGAAATATTTTAGTAATTATTATTATATGCTTAGACTTTAAGTTTTTTAAAACTTCATTATTATATAATTTTTAAATTTTTATTAATAATAATATCTATTTTTATCAATATAATCAAATCTTAAATTAGTATCTAATTTAGATTGATATCTCACAATCATCACTTCATATATATCTTGTATAATTTTCTTTAATAATTATTATATTTAGAATATTTAATCTTAGTATCTTTTTTACAAGATTATCTTCTAATTTTTATTTAATTTATAATATTACTTCATAAATAAATTTATACTATTTAATAAATAAGTAATTAAATAATTTTTTTTATTTTAAAAAATATATATATATATAATAACAACCTTTTAAAATTATTAGGAATTTCTTGAATTATTTTGTAATATTTAATTTAAGTTGATTAATTATTAGATACTAGTTTAAATTCATATTAATTTATCTTATCATTAAAAAATATTTTTTAATATTTTTTAAATAAAAAAAATATATATTCTTAAAGATAAAATTTGTAAAATCTTTATATTTATCTTTGTCAAAGTAGTAGTAGATATATTTTCTCTAATATTTTTAAAATTATTATGTTTTATTTTTATTGAGTAAAAAATATTTTTTGGAATAATAATAAATTTTTATTTATATTATAAAATATAATAATACTATGCAGTAAGTTATACTTAATTATAAAAAAAATTAAAATTATAATATAGCTTTGTTTTAAGCTTTCAAAATTAACCAAAATAACCAAGATATCAAGTTGCACTTTTATTATTTTTAGCTATTCATATTTTGAAAATTAAAAAAGACATCTTATATAATTATAATTTATTTTTTAAAAATTAATTTTTTATATTTATTTTTCAATAAAAGTATAGTAATTTTAAATATATTAAATTTAAAATATGAATATATTTAAATTATAAGAATAAATATATATAATTAAAAAATCTAAATTTTTACAATAATAGACATATTTTTTATTTTTTTATTAGTTTAAGCTAAAATAAAATATTTTTAATATAATTTTAACTATATTAATAGATATTAAAAAGTGATTAAAGATGAAGATATTTTGGTACCACCTTGGAGGCTCTTCTCAATTAGGAAGGTGGGAGCTCAACTTAAAAATTTGGAAAAAAATTCATATAGTATTCTAAAGAATAATAGTCCAAGGGATTTGAAGAAATTTACCAAAATACATAATAGATGTTATTAGAGTATCCATATTAAAATTAGATTATTTATGTTAGTATAATTTTTATTTTTTTATCTACTCTTCTAAAATTTTAATCTAGAAATATAAAAAAATGATAGATTTTGGTATGTTATGAGAGTATAAGAATAAAAAATTAATTTTTTCTAGAAATATAACTTATCTCAAAAGCATAGATATATTCTTAATTTATTTATAGGTTAATAAGATAAATGTCATATTTTTTTAATAATATTACAATATGATAGAACACAAATTGATATGATATCACTTTAACAATAATCCATTTTAGTAAAATATTTTTATATCTTATCATAAAGATAAGTAATAGATACATATAATAAAAATATTAAAAGGTACTCCTAAAATAATAATAAATTATTATACATATTTTTTTGATTTAATATAATAGTTAATCTTTATAGATTTTATACTTTAATATTTTTTAATACATTAAAATCTTTAAAATATCATGTATCAACAAGTTTATCTATATTTTGAGTACGTTGAATTTATAATTAATCAAAAGCTTAATTCTATTAATCACTTCTTAATATTTTATATAGCGTTAAAATATTTACATCACTAAATCTGTTTTTATATAACCAAATGAAATATTTTCTTTTCAAATCTCAAAAAAAGTGTGTCACATTATTATTTTATTTATTCCTAAATTTTACATTTATATTATTTATTTTCATTAATAATTCTAGAGAGTTTGTAGTGGTTATATAATTCTATTTGGTATAATCATATTAAAATAGTATCGACTTTATATAAAAATTATATGCTATTTATTAAAATTTACAAAAAAATATTTGTAACAATAGTTATTTTTTTAGTTTGTAAATATTTATAAAATACTATGACAACATACCAAATTTATTTAAATTATTTTATCACTTTTTTTAATAAATTTTATACTAAAAATAGTAATAATATTCTATTTTATTTTTTATATTTCTAAAGATATATAGAGTTATATATATATATATATATATATATATATATATATATATATATTTGTGTGATTCTAAAATATTACACTTCATACATATACAGACAAGAATCTTTGATTTTATTAGAACCATTTTTTTCTTGAATAAACTTTAAATGACACACTTGATTATTATTTGATATGTAGATATGAAAGAAACTATTGTGTGTTCTTCTAAGGAAAATGTGATAGTTTGCAATGATTCTACATGAATCCCTATTTTTAAAGCCTAACCACACATAATAATAAAAAAAATCGCTTAAGGTTCACTTCTATAGTATTCATATAATATATTTTTTATATTAAACCATGCAAAATGATCAATGATTTTCCATTGCTGCCTCTAAATGAGATTTGTTTTAGTGTCTTTAGCTTATGTGAATGAAAAATTTATTTATTGATGCATTAGAAGTTGTGGAACTGCTAAGATTATATTTGCTATTTTAGAATTCAGGCAATTTTATAGAGAAAAATACACAATAGTTATTTTTATTAACATTATAAAAATAAAATAAAGTAATTTTTTTTAGTATTTTTTTAATATTAGTTGGTATAAAAAAGATTAATTATAGTATTCTAGTAATATCAAGTAATACAGATATAAGTCTTGAGTTTAAATATTAAAAATTTAATTACTTCAATTTTTTTTAGACCATCTATGATGTCTAGAATATTTTTAAGCAACCAATATTCAATTATAATGCAATCCAATAACATAATAATACAACTCCTTCATATATCAATTATTTTTATTATGATTTTATATTAAATTATTCAAATTTCCTTACAAAAACTCAAATTGGTTTTGTATTTGTAATCTGCTGCTTATACTATATTTATGTCTCAAAATACAGTGTTTCATGTCATATTTAGCATATTTTCAAAAATGGTCTAAGTGTAAAAATTTTGATTTGAAATTTGGAAGTTATTATTTTGTTTGTGGCTTATTGAAAAAGATGTGTTTATAATGTAATTACCTTTTATATAAACAACTTAATGAAAGGACATCATGTATGCATTATACCCTATGCTGTATTCACATATATCATGTTCAAATAAAGTAGATGCAATGTAAGATGCTTGATCATCAAATAACATTATAAGAGAAAAACCAGGCAAAAGAGAAAACCATGGAAGGAAAGAAAGACATAAACAAAATTATTCATTGTTTTGTATGAATTTAGTTACATTTTACAAAACATAGTATTAAGTAGAATAAAAATAAATAAAAATGTCTGAATAGCAAGACCTTAATTGGACTTTACAAGTGCTATTTTCATGCTCAACAACTCATATTACTACTAACTCCTAATAAGTAACCAAAGCTTTGCATAGGGTAATGAGCCGGGGACGTATAGTGTTACACACAGGTGTAGGAAAACTAATTGTGGCACTGAAACTTAACCCCCGTTTAGGCCCGGTAAGTTGAATAGAATGTAGAGTTTAGAGTGGGCGATGGGGCGTCAACGGTGGGGTTCAGACACAACACAAGTGGCCTTCACGGTGACAGGCACACGGTGACGGGCCCAGAAGAAGAGTGAGAAGCCGTGGGGGAGGGGGGGGGTTCCCGCTTCCCTTTGAGCCTCGCATTCCATGCCATGCCATGCCCCATCCCACACCACCATCACCAGCAGCACAGGGACATGAAGCTACTCTCAGCTTCGTCCTTTTCCGCTTCTCCGCAACCCCACGCAACGGCACTCTCCCTTTGCTGCAATTGCTCTCCTATGTTTGCTCCCCTTTGATTATTCCGCCACTCTGCTGCGGAATTCAGCGTGCTCGTCCTCTTGATGATACCATGTTTTGGAATGCTGTGGCATTGGCGTGGCGCAACTGAGGAGGACGATAGATGTTTGTAGGGAGAAGAGGAGGCTATGGTGGAGAGATAGGTAAGCAAGTGCGCACGGTTTGTGTTTGTGTGTGTGTGTGTGGGACGAATCAAGAGTCTCGCTTGTGTTGCTGCAGGTAGGATTGATTGAGTGCTCCATGTGAGTGTTACAGGAGAATTAGGGTTTTGATCATTTCAGAGAGAAAAAAAAAGAAAAAGATATAGAAAAAATCGCGCTCCGTTGCTTGCTTGCGTGACTGAAGAAAACGGATTTCCTGGAGAGAACTTTCTAAGTTGTTGGTGCTTGAGGAGCTGTTAGGTGTTGCAGTTGTGGCTGAGGGGGTGAGCGGAGTGGGTGTAGCTTCTTTTTACATTTGTTTTTATAATAATTTTTCATAATTATGATTTATGTCGTTTTTTCGTTTTTTCGTTTTTTATTTGTAAGTGACGATGAAGCGAATCCTGTGAGGTTCTCTCCTTGGCAAAAGATGTAGGGTTCAGTTTTAACGAAAGATGTCGAGGTAGAATGGTACATGGCATTGAAGGCTATATTCTCGAAATGAAGTAGGGGAAACTCTGCTGCTTAATTCCACGCAGGAATAATAGACATGAAGATGGAGAAGTTAGGGTGCATTGTGGTTCCTTAGGGTCTGGATGCACACTGGGGCATAAATGGGAAGTCCTGAAGGAGGTGGCACGGAGAAATACCTGTCCAAGAGACGGAAAAGCGCGAGCTCGCACTATCCTAAAGCTCGCGACTGGGATGACGAGGAGGCTTACGATGAGGACCGAAGGTACCGTTCCAGTAAGACGAAGGTGAGTAGCAGGAGCGATCGGGAAAGAGAGATAACTCGGGAGAAAGAAAAGGATAGGGAGAAGGAGAGGGATCATGACCGGGGTGATAGGGAAGGCAGGAGCAGGGATGAGTATTTCGAGAAAGGCGTAAAGCAGTTGCGGTCTTTTAGGGAGGACAAACACGATGAGAGGGCGGAGAGAGACGATCGGGAAGTTGTAGAGTCCCGAGCAGGGAGCAACAAGAGAAGAAATGCGTCGGAGAAGGTAAGCAAGAATAACGAAGTTGGCCCGACGCAAGAAGAGAAGAAGGGCGGAAGAGCTGATTATGCCATCGCTGTCAATGAGGTAACGCTCCGGAAGCACGAGAGGGCCCATGACTTGGGGGAAGAGGAGTTGAAGATAGGTGAACCACGTGTGGAAAAATCACGGGAGAAGGAAAGAGGCAGGAGGGAAGAGCCTAGGATAGATAGGGGTCACAACGGGGAAGATGAAAAGTACAGGAGGAGTGACTCCAGGACAACCAGAGGTGAAGGCCTTGGTGAGGATTCTGTAATAAAGCGAAATTTGCATCGAGAAAGATATTATGGAAAAGAAGAAGAGAAATTGTGGAAGAAGGAGAGTAAAGCCGAGAGATCTCATGACAGGTCTGAATCGAATGTCCGAAACTTTATAACCAGGGCAGAAAGATTTTCCGAGACGGAGGATGAAAAGGTGCGGCATAGTGATTCGTATGTGGAGGAAAGTCAGAATGGCGAGACGGAGGATTATCAGAGGGTTGAGAGAACTCATGAGTTTCGCGACAGTCTCAAATCCAGAAAAGGTGTTTACAGGGCTGGTAGATCACATGATATTGACGATGATTCTATGTATGAGATTGACTTGCGTCACGAAAGAGCTACAAAGACCGTCACAACTTCTGTACTAAATTCTAATTACTCGAAGAGCGGGAAAAATGTAGAGGAAAAAAAATCAGCGAGAGCCGGCAGGCGCATGCACTCGCAATACGACGAGAAAGATCTTAGGATTGTGGAAGCGCAAGGAGAGGGAAGAGATCGTTATGTTGAAATTTCTGGGATAGAGAAGCACCCTCATATTTCAAGTCGAAGTGAGAAAAGCCGGGAATACGTTGGCCGTGATAAAGGAACTGGTGACAAAGATCGGCCGCTCGCTGTCCTCGAGGGTGTGGAAGGTTCTGCTGAGTTTTTAGATTCAATACAGCTCCATAAATGGGATCGTAAACGAAATAGTAGTGGGAAGATTCACTGGGAAAAAGTTGAGAAGGAAGGAAGCAGAAAGGATGGGTCTAGTGGAATTGAGCAGATTGAAGAAGAAAGTTCTGTAGCACGATACAAACTTCAAGAAGAGTCGAGGGGTCTCTCTGGGGCTTACGAGAATGTTTTGGACAGCAAGGATGAGAAAGAGAGCTCGAGACATGGCCGTCAAAAAGAGAAAGTCCTTTCTGGGTCGGATAAACCTGAATCCGGCTTGGCGGAGGATTTGGAAGTTGTAATAGAAGAGAGTCCACGAGAGGGTAATGGATTGGAGAGGACGGATTGCAAATGGGACGAACCTGAGGAAGATACTCTCAGCAGCAGGATGTTGGAGGGTGAACCAGAGAATATGCTCCCAGAGATTGACAATGTGGATGTTTTTGAGAGTGAAGAAGTGGAAGAGGAGTGCAAATCTGCATTCATTGAGAAAGTAGAGGAAAGTGAGCAGATAGTTGAGTATGAGGAGTCTCAGGATTTTGAGAAAGTGGCAGCAAGTGAAGAGGTAGATTTAGGGGAAGGAGAACGAGGTGACGACAGTCAACTAGAGAAACCTGAACGACCTCGTAGAGAGAAAGAGAGACTGGAAAGGGAGGAATTAGATGAGTGGGAGAAAGGTGCAATTTACAAAGTAAGAGGGGAGAGAGACTGGACGAAAGAAAATCGTCAGTTTGATCAACATCTTCAGGGCAGAGAAAAGTCAGAGTGGCAAGGTGTTGAAGTTGTAAACAGGCTTGAAGGTGAAATGGAAGAAGGCGGCGACGAGGTACCCAGGTCAGGACGGCGACGTGGGAGAGATACTCTGGAAAGAGAAGATTTTGACTTCGAAAGCAGATTCTTGGGAAGGGATGATGGAGACTGGGACAGAGAGAGGGAGCGAGAAAGAGAACGGGAAAAGGAGAGAGAAAAGGAACGGCAAAGGGAGAGGGACAGAGAGAGAGAGAGAGAAAGAGATCGGGAACGAGATCGAGGAAGAGAGAGGGAAAGAAGAATTGAGTGTTATTCGGATGATTACCAACGCAAAGGCTCTGAACGTTATGATGAGAGGTATTACGAATACGACATTGAGGGAAGGTCCAGCGGTAGGGGAAGAGAATACAGAGCAGATCATGAGAGGGAAAAATTTAGATCTCGAGAGGCAGGTTGGGAGGAGCTGGATGATAGACGTAGAAGGTTGAACAGTCGGGACAGAAGGGAAGATGAAAGAGCTGGAAAGTTGGCTTCTAAGGAATCTACTCATGGCTTAGTGCGTGGAGCGACTGTGGGTAGAGAGAAGGGCGACGAAGAAAGGAACTGGAGGTTAAGATCAGAAGAAGAGAAAGGAAAAAAACCAGTTTCTAGGGATTTTATTGAAGAAACAAGGTCGATTGGGGGTAAAGGCGAGGATCCTCTAGATAAGGTCAAGGCAATTGGTAAGGATACTGGTCCTGACATGTCCGATGAAGGGGGAAGGTCTAAAGGAAAGCATGGAAGAGTTATAACGTCTCCTCGAAGCCTCGATGATAGAAGAGAGCCATACAAAGGTGGAAAACCAGTGATGATATCTCGGAGTCCAGATGATCGAAAAGGACACAGAAGTGGTAAGACCGTGGTGAACTCTCGAAGCCCTGATGATAGGAGAGCAGGGTATCGAAGTGGCAAAGCTGTGACAAGCTCTCGAAGTCCTGATGATCGCAGAGGTCATAGAAGTAGCAAAGCTGTCACAGGTTCTCGAAGTCCCGAGGATCGAAGAGGTGGGCGATCAGATTGGGAGGACGTAGAGAAAGATTGGTCAGATGAAAGAGCGGAGTATGACAGAGAGAAGAGCAGCAAAAGACGTGTAAACCAGAAGAGGGATAATGACAGTAGTGAAAGAGAGCGTGACAGGTACAGAAGTAGAGAGCGGCCTCACGAACGGAATTGGGAAAGAGGAAAGGGGAAAGATAAGGTTGATAATGTGGATCGATCCTATGATCGGCATCAGAATCATTGGAAAGGTAGTAGGGATTCTGATTTTCAAGTGGAGCAAGATAATTGGGAGTCGAAAATGAGACATGAAAATGCTGATAGAGAGAAGTTGGAGAGGAGGATGTTGGAACGAGAGAGCAGCGAACGCAATAGAATGGACAGGGAGCGAGTGGAGGGATTAAGAAGTCCGCAGGGCTTTGCTTCGATAAGCGAAAGCACTGGGAGAGGCCACCAGATGTCTTCTAATTTTTTAGAGCCTGGTCGTGGATTTAGTTCGCACGGAGGGCCTTTTATGCCACCAGGTGGGGATCCAGGATTCTTTCAAGGTGAGGAAATCACCTCAGGTCATAAAAATGCCTTGTAATAAGACATGGAAATGCATTAAGAGGAGGAAGCATAGACGAATATTTGTTTGTTTTTCTGTAAAAGCCTTCAATTTCGGTTACTTTAGTTAAATTAGATACTTATCTTAAGCACTCAAGAAAGCAATGCATTTCTCTAGTCTGTCAAAATTTAAATATAATATTGATAAGTTGCAGTTTGTGAAATTGTTGTGCTTGTTTTGTATGATTTCGTTGTTGGTCTTAGAAGCATTTGAAGCAATGGCAGTATGTTGTCTGCAGCATACGTAATGATAGTAACGTATAGAAGCAGCAGAAGCTATAACCACTTTGCTGCATGCAAGTGTTAGTGAACAGTGGTCATCTTAAGTAATTTGCTATTACTTTAACGCCGTACTTTTTCGTTGTATCTGTTCGAGGAATACCTCGATTCCTTGTACCTCTACTTGGTGATCTTACTTGAGGTGACGCATAAACTTTTCTAATACGATTTTATCATCGGGTTTAGATAAGGATTTTTCGGGAGTATCCTGTGCTAAGCTTTCATGCTTACTTGTGCATTCCACAGGTGATTACTTTGGCGGCATGGGGGAGGTCGATTGGGATGGCTCGATGATGGACGACAGAATGCGACAGAGAGAAGGCATTTTTTTGGGGAGTAGCGATAGATTTATGGAAAATGAGGGTCCTCTAGGCCATGATGCAGGATACGGTCCTGGTAGAGGAGCCGCAGGTGATGGAGGAATGAACTACAGCCACCTTTCCGGAAGAGGTCGAGCTTCAAAAGCCTCCCCGAACAATAGAGGTCGAGGGGGCATGATGGGTCACGAAGGAAGACCTCTTTTTAATAATATTCAGCCTAGCTCCATGCTCAGAGGTATGCAACAGCAGCAACAGCAGCAACAGCAACAAGGCGGGAAGGGACGAGGTCCTAGAGGTGGACCAAAAGGTGCAAGAGGTCCTGGTCGGGAAGTGCAACGTCCAAATGTCAATCCTCTCATGGGTCCAGGTCCAGGAATTGGTCCTCACTTTGGTCCCATGGGACCTCAAGGGCTAATGTCTGGTATGGGTATGGGGCCAGGACCAGGGCCGGGTCTAACTCCTGGTCCCAACATGGGTCAATTTCCTTTGCTTCCGTTTGGAGGTCCCATGGGTTGGGGAGTGGGACCTGGAGGTGGCGAGATGGGAATGATGGGCTGTCCACCAGGCCCTGGGCCAGTAATGGGTCCTGGTCCTGGTGGGTTGGGTCCAAGGTTTGGGCCAGGAATGGTTCCAGGTCCAGTACCGAACATGTTTTTCAATCCGCCTGGACCAGGGAGAGGGGGTCATGGTGGTATGCCAAGTGGATTATTTGGTGGAGCTGTCCCACCCTTCAATGGGCAAAGTGGTGGAGGTGGACGTGGTCAAATGGGTGAAAAAGGCACATCTGGGGTTGGGAGGGGGTTAGTTGGAAGGGCAAATGGGCCACCAGGAAGAGGTCCCTCAAGAGGGGAACAGAACGATTACTCTCAGCATTTTGTTGATACAGGGTTGCGACCTCAGAATTTCATTCGAGATGTGGAACTCGCTGATCGATTTGAAGAATACCCAAAGCTGAAAGAGCTGATAACGAGGAAAGATCAGCTCATCGCAAAAAGAGCAACACCCCCAATGTACATGCAGTGCGATCTTCGAACAACAGAGTTGTCCCCAGATGTATTTGGAACGAAGTTTGATGTGATACTTGTTGATCCTCCATGGGAGGAGTACGTCCGTCGTGCTCCCGGCATTGGAGATTCAATGGAATGGTGGTCAGCTGAAGAGATTCAGAATCTTCGCATTGAGGTGAAATACTGAACTTGCAGTTTCAGCAGCTGCCGCAGCAGCAGCCAAGTTCCCCACGATCAATTAACAATATGTGTTGATTTATTTCTCTTATACTATGAGGTATTCTGTTTATATAATTTATGGAAGCGACACGTTAAACTAGGATATGATACATAGTCAATCAAGAAATGAAGACTCTTGATATGTCAAGTTATATCCACATTGCATTATGGGAAGCCACAGATGTAACACGTATCGATGTCCTCAGGGTGATATGCTTTACGAAGTAACTGACACCGGGTTTGTACTTGTGATTTGCATTTTCGCGACAGGCTATTGCAGACACACCTGCATTCATTTTCTTGTGGGTTGGAGATGCTGAAGGGCTCGAGCAAGGCCGCTTGTGTCTCAAGAAGGTTCTGTTCTTATTCTACTCCTCCTATTCATAATTTTTCTGCGACTAGATGTAGGAAATACACAAGCTTTTTCCAGGTTTTGTGTTAAGTAAACTAGGATTAAGCTGTCCATTAGCCCGTTGATTGTTAGGTTCTTATGATATTGCTTCTTTTCTCTCGTAAAATATTTTATTCCCCAAATATTTTACAGTGTGGAATGTCACTAGTTCTTATGACTAACATTGTCTTGTTGGTGCCCTGTTGTCAGTGGGGATTTCGTAGATGTGAGGACATATGCTGGGTAAAAACTAACCGGGAAAATCCTACTCCAGCCTTGCGTCACGACTCCAACACTTTATTTCAACACTCTAAAGTACGGATTAGTTATTATTTTTATTTTTATTTTGATCTGTCCGGCATTGTTTCCTTAACATTTATTCCTTAATTAGTGGTTATTACTTTACGCTTGAGCAAGTTCATTCTAGGCTCAAGACGGTCAACTTCTCTTTTAAAGTTGGCAAATTGTCTTCCGCGTGCATTATTCTATTTTTGGACACTGCCCCCAATGTAGCAGCCATTATATTATTATAGGAGAGCTTTAATACATACTGAGACAATGTCACGCCTTTCGTGCAGGAGCACTGCTTGATGGGGATAAGAGGGACAGTGAGGCGCAGCACTGATGGTCATATTATACACGCTAATGTAGACACGGACATTATAATTTCGGAAGAACCAGAATATGGTAAGTTTCTGTGCAACTTGCGAGGGGCTATGTTCAATCATGCATCAAAAATCGCTGGAGAGTGTAGATCTTGATCCAAATGCTTCGCTTTTGGTTCTCGTGTTAGATTTTTGTGTTCGAATTCCACAAGTCCTAGATCTTCAACTCATCACATGGCTCCATTGAAGGTTTGAAGTTCGTGCGGTCGATGTTTCCAAACACATGCTTGAAAGATTTCACATCATCTTGCATCCAAGTCTTGTGATTTAGGGAAGTGAATGTCAATCTTGAAGAGCATAGTTGGTTATAGCTGCTTTAGATCATCACATTCAGTGGTCTTCCATGTCCAGGGTCTACGAAAAAGCCCGAGGAGCTGTACCATATCATAGAACATTTCGCACAAGGGATGCGGCGCATTGAATTGTTTGGTGAAGACCACAACATCCGAGCTGGATGGGTCACTGTTGGGAAAGGCCTCACATCATCCAATTTCAACCCCCAGGTTTGACTTCAGAAATACCGTTAAATCTGCTCATCATGTGTCAACATGTTTGAACCAAGGGATGCTGAGAATTTTTTATGCTTGTCCTTGCAGATATATGCCAAGAATTTTGTTGATACAGAGAGGAAAGTTTGGCAAGGTGGCCGTGGAAACCCTTCTATTGATGCTTCACATCTAGTTGGAACTACGCCAGAAATTGAAGCTCTACGACCCAAATCTCCCCCTCCAAGGCCTCAAGCACAGCCTTCCGGACAGGGTAATGTTGGAAATTCTCTCTCGCAACCTTCTGCAGGAAACTCCATTTCAAAGAAGGCCTCTACAGCACAGCCAGGTGGAGTTCAGAATGGACACCCTGCCGCATTAATACCAGGTGCTGGACATGGTTCCGCCAATCCTTCAGTAGCAGGATCTGTTGTGATTGGGCAGCCTCCTCATGTGGGTGGTCGTGGAGGAGGACATGGTCAAATTCCTAAAATGCGCCCCGTCCTTCCCGGGCCCTTGATCAAACCTCTAGGAGCTTGTCCCGGCATTGTTGAAATGGCAGGTTTTGACGAGGAAGCATCATATGGGGGAGACATGCAGGAAGCGACCTCAGCGGAGGATCTGCACTAGGCCTCCACGAAAATGTCTGCAGATTTGTGCCCTGGAACTGAATCGTGGATCTTTCTAACAGCACAATTTTCTTTTCGCTTTGTGCTTTAAATTTTCACATCCGGTGGTTTCACCAATGTATAGACACTCCATTTGAAATCGTTGATTTCCGTAGATCTTGTTTATTGATGTGGCCAACGCCTTTCAACTCTAACGTCAAATTATTGATATGGTTTATCTGGATTGCAAGGCTACGGTTGACCCTTAGGCATTTGGGTTATTATTAACTTCCTTATCACTTGGCATGTTATCGTGATGTAACGAATTACTTCGATCAAGATATTGACTGTCACATCCGTTTCAGGCAAATTAGGGTTTCTGCCCGTTTTTTGATTCAGAGTGATAAATCGATTTGCAGGAACTTTCCTAAAATTTTCAACCATTCTTTCTTAGATCTTGAGGCAATTCCTCTCTATTGGGTGACTGACTCTTGGACTGTGTTTCCAAATTTATGCACCTTCACCTTACTTGTTTGAGAGCAGTGTACAAAAGGCTTTTAAGTTTTTTTTTTTTTTTTTTTTTTTTTTTGGAAAAATATCAAATATACCCCTGAAATGTGTGGAAATATCAAAAATACCCTTGTATTCTTGATAATTGCAAATATACTCTAGGACTTGATTACCTATCACAACAATCTTATTTTAGTTGATTTTGGGGCCCAAACCATGTGCCATGCAATTTTTGGTGCAGCAGTTTTGGGAGCACTTCAAGCTCTCCTCTATTGCTGTTATCGTTGGTGCCCCTATTGTCGTAAGGTCACCCTGCTCTTATTTTGCCCGACTCTCCAATTTTGCCCGACTCTCTAAAGCTCTTGCATTCCATGTGTGTGTAGCAATATGCTGATTTGATGCTTACAAGGAGTGCAAGAAGCAAGAGAGGGAACTGTGCCTTGAAGCCAATTATGAACCTAAAAGGTTTTTTTGAATTCTTGGAAGTTTGTTTTGGCATTTGGTGTTTGTAATTTTCCAATTTAAGTTGATTTTGAATTTTTTTTCTAGATTTCATTTTCTTATTGTAGTAATGCTACATGTAAATATTATTCTCTCTCTTCATATTGTGTGCCATCATCTCAGCATGCTTAGCAATTTTATATACAAGTTTATTAGTTAAAATAAAATGGATCACTAAACATTGCATCCGGTGGGATTCAACTCATCAAATCTATCACATTCTTTATAAAAATAAAATGCTTCATGTTTTTTGAATGTGTCTGATTTTTTTTCTCTTCAATAGTAAATCACATGAGATGATTATGTGAAAATAGAATATTTGTGTCTTAGATTTTTTATTTTATTTTTTTCTAATTCTTTATTAGATAAATTTAATAATTTCTTATTCAATTCAATTTAATTTTTAGTTAACCTACAAATAAAAAATAAAGTTGTAGTTACATCAAATCAACATCCAAAAGATCCGATTATTTGAGTGTGTATTTGGGAGTGCATTCCTATTTATAGAAGACAATTGGTATATAAGAATCCATATTATCCTTGGAAGCCATGCTATGTTGTGCTAAATTGAGCTTAAATCCAACCAACATTTGCTTCACTTATCCAAATTGTAAGGATTGCATAATGCTTGAACAAAAGTAATTGGCTTCAAATCTCAACCTTGGAGTTGGAGCTCAAAGCAAGAGGTGAGAGGCTTCTCTCTCCTACATATTTAGTCTCTCCTCCTCTTATTGACATCTTTGGTGTGCCTTCTCCTCATCTTGACATCTTTGGTGTATATTTGCTCTGCAATACCAAGTGTTGAAGAGTATTTATGTTTTAGCTATAGCAATTTGGAGACAAGATCCTATGGTATTAGAGCATCTACAAGATCTAAACTTTGGAGATTAGACCAAACTTATTTACATCGTTTTTTTTGAGAGCGCTCTTGCCACAAACTTATTTATGTATAATGCAACTAAAGGTACAATTCATGTCACCTTGTCACCTCTCCTTAATGTCTCATCTTTTATTAGCTTTCATAGATAAGTAAATTTATGCAATTGCACGAATAGAATGATTTGCTACAAATGCCATAAGATTTAGTTTATAGGTTTTTAGATCCTTAGGCCTAAGTTTGATAGTAAATCAAATAATGCACCAATTAACTTGGTACTTGATTGTTGCTATATTTGGAAAAAAATAAAAAAATATGCTAGTAATTAAAACAAAAAAACATAGCTTGATTTCTAGCATATGTAGTCATTAATGCGAACATGGCTATATTAACATCAATTGAAGAGAATTTTGAATGTGACAATATTGGCAATATGATGGAGCTCAGTATACTGACATTGTTATATGGTAATACGGATATTAGGTGAAAGAAGAAAGATAGTTTTTTTATTATAAAAGACCTTAGTTAAAAAGATAAAAAAAAAAAAAAAAAAAAAAACTTAAATTAAAGATAGTCAAGTAGTAAAATCTTATAGTGTTAGAATTGCTTTTTATAAAAATAGATTCTACTTACTTTATATGGCTATAAATTAGATAAAATAAGGTGGATTAGAGAAATAAAGAATACAAGCATGTGTAGGAAGGAGTTGGAAATTAATTTTAGCAAAAGTTACCTCAAGAAAAGAAGAATTGATACTTTGAGAGGATCAGTTGCCAATCAGGATCAAAATCAGATCCTAAGGCACAAAAATCAAGCATCCATGCAATTTCTGGGATTCTTTGGTAAATCAAAGAAGAGAGTTTGACAGAAAATTATATTAAGCTTATTTAAGCATTAATTTTAAAGGATTTGAGTTTGTAATGATTTTGTAAGAGCTTTGCAAAGTTAGGGTTGTTTTGAGTGACTTTGGTTTTTGTGAAATAAAATAGGATTGACATTTTGGACAATTTTGTTAATTTTATATCAAACCTTGAAATGAAAATTTGTAGATTTGTAAGTATAGTTGTAATAAATATGTTCTATAAATTTGACCTTAATCAAACAATTATGTTGAAGTTTATTGAAATTCAAGTGGGTTGAGGTCTCAAAAATTGGAATTTGAGGATTAGTGAGAATTTCTAATATCTTCAGCAATTTACTAGTTGGATTGAAGTAAAAAGTATTTTTATGAATAATAGACTTTCTTTTTTAATATTTGTGTAAATTTTGGAGCAATTCAATGGTTTGAAAGGAGATATTGGCAATAGGAGCTTGGCATTAAGGTTGATGAAGGAGGCTATCCAACATCCAAATGGATTTTCTTATATTTCTTTTAATTGGTAAGTGTGATTGATTTAATTTTTATTATAATTTTTTTCAATTGAATTTTTACAAAGTGTAAAATTTTTGAGTTTATATTAATAGTTCAATCATTGATTGTTGAATTTTTAATTTATTATAGGATTTATTAAGAGTTTATTTAGGATTTAGGATTTGATTAAATTTTGTTTATTGAGAATTGATTTAGAAGATTATTAGGATTTTATTAGGATTTAATAAAGATTTGGTTAGAATTTGTTTAAGATTTGGTTAAATTTTTTATTAAGATTTAATTAAGATTTTTATTTTTAATATTTCTTTAAGATTTCTTTGATATTTTTTTAGGTTTTTTTATTAAATATATATTTTTAAGGTTAATTTATGATTTCTTTAAGTTTCTTTTATGAATTTTTTAAGATTCTTTTGTAATTTATTTAAAGATTGATTAGTATTGTTATAATTTAATTGAAGTTTTTTTAGGATTGTATTAGAGTTTTTAAAATATTCTTGTTTTAAGTTCTATTTTATCTTCTACAACCAAGTGTTTGATGCATTTTCAAGCAAACTTCACAAAATACAAAAACGTTACTTAGTTTGAGGTTTGCAACCATATTTGAGTAAGCAATTACAATGTTATAACATTCTTTGTCCTATTATTGAAATTATTTATGATTTTTTACTTATTATGCATGCTCACTTCTTTCTTTTTTAAAATAATAATTCAATTTTAACCAAACTATTATTACTAAATAATATTAAAGTGATAATTATATTATAAATACTATTTTTATTAATCTATATAATAGTATTTAATAATTTACAAGATATTAGATGTTAACATTGACTGCCCTACTTTGAACTTTAGAGATCACATGATTATTTTTTATTTGTTATTACAAAGTTGGATCTTGCTTTATACCATAGCTCTAATTGAATCACTTGTAACTTGAACTTTGTTAAATTTACTAGATGAATCATATAGAATCAATGATTTTATTTTGGAAGAATTAAATTGTTGCAAATTACATCAAATAAATAATACTACATGATTCTTTAGCTTGTATCCATGAAACAATGAATATTAGTTGGAACAATTGATTTGACATACATACTTCAAATCTTTCGATAGTTAGTGATTGATTTATAACAATATATGGTTGTTATTTCTTTCCAATCAATACATAAGAGCTTGTTAATATCAATAAGTATTCCATTTCAACACTGATCAAGGTTCAAAGGTTAATTTATCACTATTGATAAAAATACCTTGTCTACTCTTTTCTTTACAATTGTTTGTTTTTAGTTGTGGTTTTTTTTTGAGGCTTTTTTCTTAAAGTTATGTGAGTTGGTCTTGAAGTAGAATTATTTTGAAGTAACTTTATTTCAAAAATTTGGTCTATACATGGTAGAGAAAATATCAAGTGGTTCAAACCATCCATATTAGTTAGTGAATTTTGACCTTTCATGCCTTTTGTTTAAGGCAAAACACATATTTTAACATTATAGATATTGTAATGACATAAGATATTAGCAGGCTTGTATTTGTTTCTTATGTAATTATATAGTATATTGTTGTGTTGTAATACAATCATCAGATAAAAGATGAAAAGAAAGATTATATTATAGATGAGCTTAAATAAAAATATTTTAGCAAATTATCTTAGAAATATAAATAATAGACAAGGAGGTAATAAAAATTAAAAAATGCTAATACTACCTTCTTGTAAAAGAGGCTTTTATTTACTTGATAAGTCCATAAATAAGATAAAAAAAAGTAGATTGTGAATCATTGAATTGATTCACTTGGATATTTATTATAAAAAAATACTTATTATACTTAATATGGTAGATTTTGTAAATTGATAGTAGAATTTTTAGAAGAAATAGAGAATAGATTGCTACTATTGGATATGCAACTTAAGATAGAATTTGTTAAGACAAATTTTATGGTGGATATTTTTTTTGGTATCTAACATTAGATGATGGTTCAATAGAAATAGTCCTTGTTATCAAAAAGAAAAAGAAAATTTTACTTTATTAATAGTTTTTAAAAAAATATATAAATATATGTTATTAAAAAAATAAAAAATAAAAATCAAAAGAGTAGAAAGAAGAAAAAAAGA